GACTCCGAGTCCCTCCTCGCTCTCTCTGACCCTCCTTGTCTGTCTCAGCCCCTGTCCTCACACCGCGGGCAGAAGCCCAGACCTGGTCCCCCATCTGCCCGCGCGAGCAGCTCCACAAGCTGCAGTGAAGGGGTCGTTCAGAGTTCCTCGGTTCGTGGAGACGGCGGCAGGGACTCGGCCTGTGCTGTGTCCCCAGCGCCCAGGGCACTGCCTGGCTTACAGTAGCCACTCACGTGTTTGCTGAATGTTAGAAAATAAGCTGCAGCCCTCAGATCTCACGTGGGCATTGACCCAACCCTGCATTTCTCTGCTGCGGTTGGCTCCTGCCCTGGGAACACTCCTTCACGCACCCCCACGTGACCTGTGCTCCGAGCAGGTGACTTCTGTCCTGCCTCCTAGAAGAGAGCGGCCGTCTCATGACACCGCGTGTCCGCCCAGGTCTGCTCCCGCCTCTCCTGTGCCGTGCACTCCCTGACCCCCGCACCCCCCAGTGCAGGTGCCCCTGTCCCTGCCTGTCTTCTGCTGACCCAGCTCTCGTGTGTCATCAGCCCCCGCGGCTCCGCCAGGCCATGGGCACATGAACGTGACTTCATGTTCTCCATCTTTTAATGCCTTGTTGACGACGTTTCCCCTCTGGGCCCCCTGCCCCTCCACACGTCCTCTTCCTGCTTCCTTATGTCCACGCGGTCCGTCCTCTTCCATCCAGCGCCTCTTACCGCCGGCCCCCTCGGCCGGGCGCCTCACACTGCTAACTTCCACTTTCCGGGTTTTCTTCTGAACGGTAAGTACGGACTTCCTGTTCTGGTGACTGATGACTTCGCTTTTTTGCTGACATCACCTCCCCCCCACAGGCACCCACCTCCCCGAAAAAGAGAAGAAACGGGAAAGGAAAGGGAGTGGAGAGGACTCCATTGGGCGTCTCCGCTCCCTCCGCGCTGTGCTGGCGGCAGACAGTGTTGGGTCCCGAGCTGCGGCCTCGGTTCTCTTTCGCATACAAATTTCATTTCCCCAGAGCTGACGACTGCCTGGTGGCTCTGCACGCTTGGTCCTCTGTGTGTGCTGCGGTGGGAACGGACGCTGCGGCAGCTCTGCCACCACGTCACCGGCCGTCCCAGGCACGGCGGGCCCCTCAGCGCTCGTCTGCCCCGCCGGGACCCTGCTCCCAGCGCCATGGCCTCCTGGCCTGTCTTCGCCGGCGCGGGGATGTCCGCTCGCTCCCCGTCTGCCTTCCCCTTGCTTTATGCTCATTTTGCCAAATTGCATCATCCAGTAGTTGCTGAGAAAGGGGCTTCTGTTGTGATCTTGGCTTTTTTCCCCTTCATGTTTGAAATATCTTTACTCTGCCCTTTTAAAGGCAGTTGGAAATTTGGCCAGGTGTAGAACTATGGGTTAAAAACTGGTTTTTCTCGGAACTGTGAGGACGGCTGGCGTTCCAGCCACCGTCTTCCTGCGTCCTGTCTGCTGCCCTCTGATTCCTTTGCTGTGTGACCTGTTCGTTTTCTCGGGAGAATTTTAGAATCCCCCTTTATCCCCAGTGGTGTGCTTTCCACAGTGAGGCACCGTGGCGAGGGTCTGCTCCTGGGTCCGGCTCAGCTTTCCGTGGACCTCGTCAGCCTGGAGGCTCCTGGGCTCCTGCTATGGGACACGCTCCTCTTAGTCCTTTGATGTTTGTGTCGCTTTCTCTTCTCTTTCTGGAGCTTGTTACCTGGTGATGGGCCACCTACCCCCGTCCTCTAATGATCTTTTCTCTCCTCTTGTCCACCTCTGTCTTCCGGCTCTACCCTTTGGAATAGGTGTTGAGTTTTGAAATTATTACTGTTTGAATTTCAAAGCGCATTTCCTTGTTTTCCTTTCTCTGTAGTAGCATGTCGCCCATCCTCCAGGGACCCCGCCCTGCGCCCCAGGGCCTGGCTGGGGTGCCGCACGGGTGAGCTGGATACCGTGCCCAGGGCCTGCTGCTCTCCCACAGAGAGGGATGACAGGAGCCCTGCTTCCTGGGCTGTTGGAAGGGCGCCCGCGTCACCCTGGGCCACACTCGGTTAGAGTAGCCCCTGGCCCCTGGCAGGCGCCCAGCCAGCATTGGTGATGTCGTTCCTGTTGGCAGGCATTAGCTCCCTTGAGGACATTAATTGTCATTTCTTTGACATTTTGTCGATGCACTGTCCCTCTTTGCTCCAGCTGCCTTGTTTCGGCGTTTTCGCTCGGCCGTCTGCAGATTGGGAGCGATGGGCTCGTGTCGAAGACGCAGCCGTCTGGAGCCGGCAGGCCGTTCCGTGGGCAGGTGGGCCTTCCAGCTGGAGGGCTTCCCTGAGGTCGGTCACTTCTTAAGGACCCCATTGAACCTTTTCTTCCGAGATTTTTCCTTGTGGGGAGGGTCTTTCACTCGCGGCAGCCGGCGTTTGGGAAACAGGAAGGGGGAGTAACAGTGTGCGCCCACCTGACAGGATGGGGACAAGCTGGGGGACCTAGCAGTTCAGGAAATGACCTTCCAGCTCCATGTCCAGCACCTGGTGTGCAGCGTGGCCGAGGCCCCGGGCAGGTTGAGACTTTGCCCCCTGCGCGCACTTAGACTGTCACCTACCACGCCTCCTGCCCCTTTGCTGTCCCCTGCACGTCAGAGCCTGCCCAGCATTGTTGCTTTGTGGTCGGACACTTTTCCAGTCCTCTCGGGCATTGTGGCGGTGGTGGTGGGAGGGAAAGGCCTCCGCCAGCAGTGGGCCGCGCTTGACAGAGGGTCGACGCTGGGTTCTTGGGCGCTGCCAGGCGTGTGTCATGGTTTCTGAGTATGACTTAGAACACAGGCCGAGTGAGTTCTGCAGCAGCCAGATGACCCATCCACCAGAGTGCCTCGCTGTCGGCCGTGTGCACCAGCGCCTGAGCCTTGCTGCCCCTCTGCAGAGACGCAGGGCCACCCCTGTGGCCGGCAGGGCCCGTGTGCGAGTGGGCCCTGCGCAGGGGCCTCTGGCTGCTCAGACAGACCGAGCACTGCGTCCCGAGTCCTCGTGCGGTGCGTGGCCGGTGCTAAGGCCCCATTGGGTGCCCTCGGTACCATATTTTTGCTTTTAGCATCGCACTAGTTTCGTAGAGTAATGGCCATCATGTTAAATTCGTGTTGGTAATTTAAATTTTGTTGGTTTTATAATTTTGTAGGTATTTAGTTTGTATATTTATTTTGACTTTAGAGCTCTTTTGAACTCTGTGGACAACATTTTCTAACTTTAGATTCATACATATTTGCGCAGCTTAATGAAAATAATTTCTCACCAGTGGCAGTCATGGGAGTTTCTCTTTTAAAAGATTCAGTCCATTTTAATTAAGTTTAAAAATCACTGACAGAACTAGAATGCCGTTAACTATATAATATCATAGACCCCCCTTGGTGTGAACGACAGAGATTTAGTCCCGTTTAGTCCAATACAGGATATTTTAATTTCATTTACGCAAATTGGGTTATTTTGAGTAATTTAATTTAAAAAGTGACACTTCTAACAAGAAGCCTAGTCCTTTTCCCAGCTGTAACTGAAGGGGTGTTTTTGTTTCTTTAAAAAAAAACGAAAAAAGGAAGACAGGACATCCCAGGCAGGAGAATTCGTGTGTGTTTAAAAGTCGCGCCCAGGGGGCACCCGGGTGGCTCATTGTGTATTAAGTGGCTGCCTTGGGCTCAGGTCCTGATGCTGGTGTGGGCCTTGAGGCCGCTGCTGGGCAGGGAGTCTGCTTCTCCCACGACCCTCCCCCTTCTGCTCTCTTTCACTCTTTCTCTTTCTCTCTCTAAAATAAATAAAATCTCTTTAAAAATTAAAAACAGAGCGTGGAGCACAGTGCAGGTGAGGTGAGAGCTCGTACGGCTGAGTCCCGTGTTAACTGTGACTTGCGTGTTTGCGCACACCTTTAAGAGCCCCGTTATGGGCCAGGTTCTCCAAGTACTTTCAGACGTTGTCTGCTTCTTAGTGTTGGAGGAGGAGCTACGCAGCAAAAGTGTCTTTAAACACTCCCGCCGCGGCCGTGGGGTCCTCCGTGTGCAGAGCACACAGTCTGTCCGCCAGCGGGACGGGCTGTTGGCGTCCGTGCCCCAGTAGCCGGGCGGGTTGTACTGATCCAGCCCGGCTCGTCCTCAGGGTAGCCAGAGCTGAGATTGTCTGGGGCAGCTGACGCGGGCGCGGAGTCCCTATGCTGGACGGAGCAGGGGGACAGCGGCTCCTGCGGGACCAACCCATGGCCTTGTCTTGATTCGACCGCACACAGCGCGCCCAGGCGGGAGAAAACGGTCTTTTCTGTTTTTCTTAATCCAGGGGTCCATTCAGGAATCCAGATCCGTTCCCTTCAGGCCTCGGCCTCAGGACGCCGCCCTTGCTTTATTGCTCCTACCCTGTGCCCTTCACCTGTAGTGAGCCGATGGCCAAGGTCTTTGTGTGTCAATGTCTGAAATCTCAGGTAGTGTTTCACTGGGTAACGATGCTGTGTCATTATTGGTGGTAATGGTCTCATCCAGTCAGTGAAATAGAGTTTGTGCTGTGTATGGTGTTATTTTGTACAGAAGCCGGCAAAAGGTATTGCAAAGAATATTAAAACATCTGTTAATGTCATGTAAGAACGAGATTTTATTTTATGAGTTAATATCAGGCATGTGTCATAAAATCAGACAACAGTCTTCTAGACCAGTGTTTTTGTTTTCTTTTCAAAATCAATTTTCTAAGATTTTATTCCATATCCTTGTATCAGGATAATGCAGCCTAAATAAATCCTGGTGCCCCAGGGACCAAGCATTCAGTCCACGGAGGGGAGCCCATGAGGCCATATGTGCTCTTGGGCTCTGGGTGCCAGAAGCGGAATCAGCTGCTGCTTGGTAATGATGAGTTTCCTGTGAAAATGTTGCTTTATCCAGCGAGAAAGTTGTATATGTGTGTGTTTGTCTTTTGGACCTTTTTTATTGACCTTTGTTACTGATTATAACTCCTTTCCAAATCATAATCTGGTAAATTGCTTCTGTATTTTATTGGCAGCTGACATCATCTCAACTGTTGAATTCAATTACTCTGGAGATCTTCTCGCGACGGGAGACAAGGGCGGCAGAGTTGTTATTTTTCAGCGGGAACAAGAGGTCAGTGATTCAGTCCACAAGCCAAGTGAAAGCCAGCCTTTCTCGTGTCACTTGGAAGGAGGGAGAGAAACACGGGCGTCTTTCAGTCTGTGGCTTCACTTAGAGTCACTCGCAGCACACTACCTGTGCAGAAGCCGTTTGTCCCGGGTGAGCAAGAAGACCCGTGCTTCCGCTCCCCGACGTCCAGCCACCGAGCCCCGATGGAGTCCCCTGTGCCCTTGTCTTCGGGAGAGGAGAGTCTTTGCCCTGCCCACAGGCTGTCGTGAGGACCGAGGGAAGGATGTGGGGTGGTGGAGTTCCACATCTCTCTGCTCTCGTCCTGTCGTTTTGCTGGGGGCCGGGGGTGAGCATCCCTCCCGCGGCCCCTGGAGGTGCTGGCTACCAGCCCCGTGGCCCAGCGGGCAGTGTGCGGGCAGTGCGCGCTGGACGGCTGCGGCGGCGCCAGCTCCGGGGAAGATTGTGTGTTGGGGGCCATGAATTGTCTCTTCCTTCTCAGTCAGAGTGAGCTGCCTGCTGCTGCTGTGCCCCCCGAGGACCCCACTGTCCGTGCTAAGAGGAAGGAGTCCTTAGAACGGGGCCTGGAGGGCCCCCCAGAGGACTCGCACTCATGAGCCATTTTGTAGGTCACTCCCTCTCTTTGGGGGAAAGGGCAGAGAAACCCGTCTTTTTCAGTAATGCATAAGGAGAGAATGGGAGGTAGAAGCGGGCCTTGCCCCGGAGCCTCAGCAGAGCTGGTGGGGGTGCTGAGGAAGGAGGCGCGGTGGCCGGGTGCTCTGCCGGGCAGGGCGCACATCCTGTAGTCAGGAACCACCGTGCAGCCCGGCCTCCGTCTTTCCCGCCAGCTTCACACAAAGGGCCCTCATCTGTGTCGGGGCAGGTCACGGGCACGTACTTTCTCATCCTCGGAATCTGGTCTCTACCCTTCCGTGGTGGAGCTCCGCTGTAGCACCTCGTGGGCCTCGTTCCTTCCGGCAGACATGCGGGCGGGCGGCGGCCGGCCCTGCCACCAGCGAGGTTCGGTCGGGGGCGTCTGTGGGAGGGCAAGCCCTGGGCCCCCCCAGCCGAAGCGCAGGATTGCACGGGTCTGTGGGAAGGGCACTGTGGAGGGTCCGCGTCTCGTCCTTAAAGTGTGCTTGTGGTAGCTCTGATTTTGGTTATGTCCACGTAGATTTAAAAACTATTTTTTAGTTTTTAAAAAGACAGTTTTTTAGTTCAGTAGATTTAATCCTATTTTTTCTGATTTGGGGCGGCAGGAGTTCTTCTGTAGGTAGTGTATGTGCTGTCGTTCGTCTGTCTAGGTCTTCACAGACGGTTCGGCAAGTTCCTGACTTTGCAGCCCTCCCAGACGTCGGTCGCGGCCGGTCTGCTGTGAAGGAGCAGCCGCGCTTCCGACTTGCAGTGGAAGGGCCCGGCGGTAGACGGCCGAGTTGGAGCCGTCGGCCAGTTCCCTCTTCGCGCCTTTACGTTTGCCGTCTAAATGTATCCTCGTAGAGAATGAAATTTGTCTCCTTTTGCGAGTCCTCTTTTAAACGTAAGAAGTACTAGGTTCAAATGGGAGATAGATTATAGGCGTACTCGAGCGTCCTGGTACTCACTGTGCTGGGCGCCACCGCCGTGAGGACTGGTGGTTAGGGTTTCGTTAGGGTGTATCGTCGTGGGCTGTCATGTGAAGCCACGGGTTCACGCGGAAGCGGGTTGTTGACATTGTTTAAGTTTGATAAACCCAGCTGTCTGCAACTTAATAAACCCTGGGCAGCTTTTTCTTCATAGTTTGGTTGACCTGAAAAGCCTTCACGTTCCCTCTGCTTGGATCTTGGTGCTCGCCGCACGGAACGCTCACCGCGGACGCGGCTTCTCCCAGTGCTTTCAGTACAGCCGCCGCCGCCCTCCCCGCGGAGACCCCGGGCACGGGGCTGTGCTGCAGTGCGGAAGGGGGCACGGGTGTCCGGCCATGGGGTCAGGGCGAGGGGGCCGTCGGAAAGTTCAGGGTGTGCCCGAGATGCGAGGCAGGGAGCAGAGCTCACAGTGCGATGTTCAAGCTGTTTTCCTTCTTAGCGGCGGAGCCTCCGTTCCCCGCAGCCCAGTGTGTCAGCCTCAGGCAAGCAGGGTTGAGGGACTTGGCTCGGCTCTGCTGCAGTTCACGGGGCAAACTCTCGGGTGTAAGTAGTTCTGACACCAGCACGCAGCATAGCAGAACCAGATTGCACCTGCCACCATCTTCCTGTCCTCGCCAAGCCTGTTCCCAGGACCTCAGGCGGGCAGCCTTGGTGGCTCTGGCTCTGCTCTCTCCTAGGGACCCAGCTGCCGTGGGCAAGCAGGTCTTCCTCGAGGCCCTTCCTCTCGCTTTTCTGTTCTTACCTCTTCCCGGACAGCATGGAGACTGCTCCCTGCCTGGGGGTCCTCGGAGGCTAACGCAGGGTCTCAGCCTGTAGGACGGAGGTTTTAGGGGTGGCAGGGGGCGGCACGGTTCTAACAGGAAGACGCTTGCAGCGCGTCTTCTCGGAGAGCGTGGCGGGAAGGACAGGTGGCTCCTGGGTGTGGGTGCCTCAGACAGTTGTTCGTGTCCTGTTTTCTCGGAGTTGGTCACGGTCTTGAGGGACTGATGCCATAGAGTTTTCTTCTTTAAGGATTTCAATTTCCTTTTTCTCATGGGCAAGGTAGAAGCATCTGCTGGTGTGTTCTGCTTTCTCGTGGGGGGTGGGATGCAGGCCTGAAGAGAGAGCTAACGCACCTAACACAGCCACGCGTGGCAACTGGGTCCTAGACCCTGGGGTCCGCATGTGGTTTCCGGGGGTGTGCAGCCCATAGAGAGCCATGCAGGGGAGAGATTCAGGGAGCTGGGGGGTGTTTTCTCATAACACGTGATCTTAATTCAGAAATACACAAGCCCAGACATAAAGGTTTCTCTGTTTCATTCGATGTCCTTGACACACAGCCTCAAGTGTAAACATGTAAGAGTTCAGGTGCCGATGATCTAGCGAGAATTAAAATCTTGCTGTCCTTGGTTTTTAATTATGTGATATTTTTACTGTGTCATAGAAAATGTCACTTTGGTTACAGAAGATTTCAGAGATTAATGTAAATACATTTATGAACCCACCACCAAGGTTTTCCTCTTTCTTAAAAGAAAAGCCCTTGGCAGGTAGAGGTGGCCCCCGTTGTGCTCTCCCTAGTTTGTCTTCCAGCTTGGTTCCCACATCTACCGCCTTCTCACTCTGCTTTCCCAGAGTTGGTTATTATTTTGAAGACAATATGCATCTTCCCAAGCATGTTTTTCTGCTTTTACTGTCCTGTACGTATTGTTTTATGCGAGTTGAAAATTCCATCGCAGGGTCCTCTGCTGGTGCTGGTCACTGCCTGAGCACTGCTCGTCCTCCTCTCCCTGGGGTGGCGCGCGGGGGGTGTTGTCTGGGTGGGCCGCACGGGGCCACATTGCCCCGTGCTGCCCCCATCGTGGGCCCGCCAGCCTCTCCGGGAAAAGTGCATCCGTGGAGGAGCCTCCTTGCGTTAAGGGGCCCCTGGCTCCAGTGCAGGCGGCAGGCACGTCCCACGGACCCCGCTCTAGCGCGTGAGCCCTGGCGTGGGGTAGAGGGTCTGCGAAACTATCGGATACTGGTTTTTTTCCAAGGAAGTTATTTCAGAGTGTTCTCTACTTGATAATTTTTGACCCAGGGTTTTCTTTGATTTTTAAAAATGTGTGTAGTCATTTTATATCCAGATTGGTGGTACTGAAGTTTTCTCTGTCCTGTGCTTTGTTCATTAACCCAGCTCACGTTTCCTTGCAGAACAAAAGCCGCCCGCACTCCAGGGGAGAGTATAACGTTTACAGCACCTTTCAGAGTCACGAACCAGAGTTTGACTATTTGAAAAGTCTAGAAATTGAGGAAAAAATTAATAAAATTAGGTGGCTACCACAACAGAATGCTGCTCATTTTCTACTCTCTACAAATGGTAAGAGCTTTTTTTTTTTTTTTTTAAGGGATTATTTGATTTAGGATTTTATTTTTAATTTGCCGGGTGTAGCAGATTTTTACTTTACTTGTTACTTTAACCCATTCTACACGTGGTTTCTGCTTTCCACTTCGGGCACAGGGTAAATTACTAACTGGGGAGCAGGCGGTGGGCTGGAAACGAAAAGCACACAAGTGAGCAAGCCGGCGCGCTCCCGTGCGGCCCTGCCCTCCAGCGCGCCCCGTCTCTCCTCACCCTGCAGACTGAGCGTCCGCTCTGTCCATACCGGAAAGTCACCTTCAGAGTCACGTAGCTTCTCAGTCAACAGAGAGCCATAGAGTTCTCTGATGCGATACTCGACTAACGGTGCGTAATACGGTTTTTCTTTTAATATGGACACTGAGATTTCTATTTTCAGATAAAACTATTAAATTATGGAAAATAAGTGAACGGGACAAAAGAGCAGAAGGTTATAACTTGAAAGATGAAGATGGACGGCTTCGAGACCCATTTCGAATTACAGCACTGCGGGTACACACTGCTTTTTCTCAAACTACCCAGTTCTCTTCCTGGTTAATCAGGGGCGGTGCGTAAGTCAGCTGTGTAGAGAAGACCGCTGAGCAGGACTGCGGTGACATCGGCCTTCCCGACCCGCGGAGGCTGTCTGTGATCACAGCCGTAGTGTGCGTGTGTGTTACAGTGGGGTTCCCTGTATTTCACGTAAGCAGGAAGCCACACAGTAAGTTCAGAAAAATCTGATGATACTAAAGAAAGTCTAAACTAAAGTCCGACCCTGCAGCAGAAATCTCTCTCGGCGTATCAGCGTTCACTGCGAAGGTTTTAAGGCGTACACTGGTGGTGGTGAGGTCCCCGTGGGTGCGGTGCCCCGGATGAAGCCGCACGGGCCGCGGGTGCGAGATGAACCACACAACCCTGGGGCTCTCGTGGCGTCTCCGCAGTTAGCTGAGGCACCCTCAGAGCTTTCAGGGTTCTTCGCCTGCCCGTCCGTAATACCTTCCCTTCCTTTTTGGTATCCCTGGGCACCCTGTGACACGACCGTCTTCATCAGTTCTGACACCTAGATTGGGTTCACACTGTAACGGCTGTGAAGTTGGGTCAGGTGTTGCCTAGGAGTGCCCACCTGGAGGGTGTGCGGAAGGAGATGGGAAGGGGGTGGGGTGCCAGGGTGCGCCGCGTGCGTGGGGCAGCGGCAGGAAGACAGCACTGGCCGGTTCACGTGAAAATTGCTGGTTGGCTGGTTTATTTTTTAACGAGGTTTGAAGCTTTGCTGAATATTGTTTATCAAGTGAAGACCTGAGCAGTGACCACGTCACAGGTCATTAAGGTGCTCCAGGGAAGGGCACCCCGCTGAGAGACCGTAGTGACACTAGGTGCAGAGTGCGCGGGTCTGTCTGCTCTGTTCCCCAGGCTCTCGGTGCTGGGCGCGCACGGGGTGCTGGGATGGTGGGTGCACAGGACAGCCCCAGCCCAGCCATGGGGCCGGTGCTCCCCGGGTGCGGGACACCGCATGGTCAAGGAGGAGCGCACGCGGGACCCAGGTGTCCCCACGCATCCAGGGGGTAGATGTGAGGAGCAGCGTGACTGACTCGGAGAGTTTCTTAAGCCCCGATTGGAACCAGGATGTTCTGATGTAAACACTGGTGGTTTCTGCCCCGCCGTGACCTCGATTCCACGTCCATGCCGTGGTGATGAGCCACGTGAGTGACAGCGGCTCTCAGGTTCCAGCTCCCATCCTGTGGAACTCCGAGTGTGACCGAACGGAGACTTTGGGTGCCCTGCGACGCTGTCCTGCCTCCTGCCCTGGTGTCCGCTGTGTGTGCCCCACCGCCTTCACGGCCTCCCGCCGAGCACACTGCCCCGTCTCGGCCTGTTCCGCCACACCAGACGCTCGCGTGCCCGTTGGAAACCCACGGCTCGTCGGGCTCCATGTCAGTCGTACTCAGCGGCTCTTCCGCACCTTCGCCGGAGGCACTTGGCGCAGCCGGACCCAAGTGTGGCTTCGTCGGAAACAGCTGCTGTGAGCGCAGATTTCAGCGTCACAGGCTGAGAACCGACCGACTTCTGTGACCTTGGGCCTACACTTGACTTCTTAATTGCCTTTCTAAGAGCTAAAAAAGGACTATTTGCCCAAATTTAGCTGAGTAGGAGTAAATACTCCTCTTTCTAAATTTTGTTTTCCTCTTAAGTGTTTGGTGCCAGGAGAGGGACCTACTTAGGAGGAGGCGCCTTTCTGTCCTAACAGGACAGTTGCCATGTGCTCGGATCTTAGAGCCCCGTCGGGGGGCTGTGGCGGCCTGCCGCGCGCCCTGCAGGACCCCTCCGGCTGCAGAGCACACCGCTGTGGGGTCAGCTGCTGGAGAATGAAGGTGGCGTTTGTGCGTGTCCCCAAGCTCACTTTTGCAGACTTTGGGCAGAGACAGGGAGAGCTCTCCTCCTAGCCTTTCCCGGTGCTCCCTTTGGCTTTTAATTAGGAAAGTAACAGAGTCGCGACTGTTAATTTTTACTGTGCTTTTAAACGCCTGCCTCCTTTCTCACTAGATGTCAGTGGTGTTGGGACTTCTTCCTCCTCGCTCACATGTGGACACGGTCACCCATGATGGCGCCCCTGCCTCTCGTGGGGCTTTGGCACACGCAGGCGGCCCCTTGCCAGGCGACTGCACTGTTTCCACAGCGGTGTAGCTGTCCTGTTCCTGACCACAGGGCCCACCACAGAGATGGGGTTTTTGTGCTCCTTTTGAAAACCCTTTCACTGAAGTCCGTTACACATTCCAGAAACTGTCTCTGCCGGATTCAGTGAGCGGCTGAGGAGCCCTGACAGGCAGACCAGCCACGTGGCCAGGAGCTGACGGGACGGACCATGGCCCCACATCAGCTCTCTGGGGCCCTCCTGTGCGCTCTCCCCTCCCCGCACCCCTCCCTGGCGCCCAGCACGTGCACGGAGCAGCAGACCCGCAGGCAGTGAAGAGGCTCACACTGTACCCTGCAAAGCAGCAGCCGCAAGAGAGGAAGGGGGGGCGGTCCTTGATGGTGTCTCACACGAGCGCGCGGGACAGACGGGCAGAAGGCCCGTCCCTGGGGCACCCGCCCTGGCGTCAGTGTGTTCCCGTGCCGGGGTGGTCTGCCGCAGGGACGGCTGCAGGGAGGGACAGGACCCCGTCCGCAGCCTGTTTTCACAGCTCTGCTCCTCGGTTGTTTGGGTAGTGCCTGTGCAGAACTCTTAGCTCGCTGGGAATACAGGTTTGTTCCCTTTTGTTTTCTACTGTAAGTGTTGTACTTTTGTGCTGTGGTGATCTTTGTTTTGAATTCCTATTTCCTTCCATTTTTAGGTTCCAATATTGAAGCCCATGGATCTTATGGTAGAAGCAAGTCCACGACGAATTTTTGCAAATGCTCACACTTATCATATAAATTCCATTTCGGTAAATAGTGATCATGAAACGTATCTTTCTGCAGATGACCTGAGAATTAATCTATGGCATTTAGAAATCACAGACAGAAGCTTTAGTATCCTTCATCGGTTGGCTGTCTTGGCGTTGTTCATAGGTTTGTTCTTCAGGAAAGTTCTGGATGCACGTCCGCTCCTGCATCTGAGTCGGCACCTCGGAGCACGGCTTGCTGCATGGTAGCCTGTGGTGTGAGGTCTCTGGGTTAACCTGTCCTTAAAACTGGAAACTGCTGTCTACCTCTGGGGAGAGTTCTCCGTGAAATGAGCACGACCTGCCTTCCTGGGTTCCTGAGAGACAGTTTTAAATAGTGCGTGTGTGTCTGGAGGTTCCCAGCTGCCTGGTCCCCTGCTCTCCCCCCCCAAACCTGCTCGCAGATACGAGAATAGAAGACCCTGGCTTCGGTCAGAGGGGTGGTTAGGAGCGGCTGATCGCGGGAGAGCTCTGTGTCAGAAGACGAGCTGTTGAAGGCCTCTTCCGTGTGTTCCGAATGCTGCTGGGGTGCCGTTTCTGTTCGGGTGACCGTCCGCGTGCGGCTGCCCAGGCACACGTGTTCGAAGTTGTCGACTTGTGCAGAAGCGAGAGCCCTGTCCTGTGTGCACATGGAGGGGCACTGGTCAGGATTTCCCCCGTTTGGGAGCCATGTCGGGCCGGCCAGAGTGGGACAGACGTCCACAGGTCACCTCGGCCGCTTTCTAGACACAGTTCGGCACGTGCGTGTGCTCCCTTGTACTCAGGAAGAGCCGCGAGACGAAGTGTGTGTGGTGTTTTAAACTCTAGCGTTTCACACCAGATTTTTACGGCCTGTTGTCCCTGTGCTTGGTGTGGCTGTTGACTCCATTTGCGAAGCGCGGCAGCTCTGTCCGCCCCAAGGTGCTCCCGGTCGCCAGGGACGCTCTGACGCCTGCCCACGGGGTCTCCTCTTCCTGCACCCGGCACAACCTCCCGTCTTACAGGGTTCATGCCCGTGCTCCCTGCTTTCCCTCCTTAAACTCATATTTTAAATCCTCCTTTCTTCCGTTAATATGTGACCACGTTGAACAAAATTCAGATAATTCAGAGGAAGTTCTTCCCCCCCAGTGGCACCCTGCACCGGTAACCGCTGTAGGCGGCGGACGCGCGCTTCCACCCTGCGTCTGCGTGAGGAGGTTGGTGTCCACGAACGACGAGCTCCTCCACGGTGATTGGAGTTGCAAGCACTCAGGGGTGCCGGGGCCCGAGTTCACTCGATGACCTTAATGAGCGTGGAGTCCCTCCATCGCCCAGGCCTTTCTCTGTCTCCGCAGACCCGCAGTCCTGGGGTTGCCTGTGGTCCTATGCGACCCGAGAGCCCGTGGGTGCAGAGCTGTGTGCACAGGGCCTGGGGCACATCCAAAAGCTCCAGAGTTCATGCCGCTGGCCTCATTGATTTCTTGGCGCGTCATAGCCATCTGTCCCCGGGTCAGAATGGGGGTTTGCAGCCGCAGGGTTGGGTGTACACTTGGAGCCGCGCACGCGTCCGTGGCCTCAGTCCCTGGGACGTGAGCCACAGAGAGGGCTGCGTGGGGGTCGCCTCTGGGCAGGCTTGGAGACGGGCGTTCCCACCGCCTCTGAGCTATTTTAGCAGAACCCTGGACCTTCCTAAAATAACTTTTCACATCAGTAAAACCAAAATAAGACCATCTTTAATTTATTTGATTATAGGTGAGTTGAAGTATATTCTGTTAATTTACTGTCCATTAGTGTGAACTTTTTTTTTTTTACCATCCTTTGTGGGCTTTCTCCTTTTGGAATCTCTTCTTTTTTCTTCGTGTTTTGTGAGAACTCTGACTCATACGTGATTTATCTGCGCAGTCTTATTTCTCGTTGTCTTTGCAAGACTCCATCCCACGGTCATGTTTCAGATGCCCTTCCTTGTGGCGACGTAGGTCACAGAACCCACGGCACTTTGCTACGCGCTTCTGTTAGCACCGTGACCCTCTGAGTGCCTTTCGCTCCACTCACATGAGCGCTCTGGCCTCAAGTCGTGCTGCTCCCCGAGGCTCGGGCCCCTGCCCCTGCTGTGGAGGCGCCGGCCCGGCATCCTGGGCGGTGTCCTCACGGGCTGCTGCTCGGTGCTCCTCCCTGAACCTGCCGGGACCTCTCCTCTGCCGCAGAAGGGCTCATGAGCGTCCCCAGGCCTGCCACAGGGCTCCGGCCCCTCCAGGGCCACAGCCTGCGCGGCCTCATGTCCAGTGGCGAGCTGTGGCAGCCCAGTTCTTACATGTTTCAGTGGAAGCGTCCATGTGGACCCTGTTGCTCCATCCTGACCCAAAGCCAGAGCCAGATTCTTTTTTTTTTTTAATTGAATGATGTCTACAGCTGGCAAACTGCAGGGTTGGCACTGTTCTGACCGCTTGGAATGGGCTCTTCATGGCTGATCAAGAAAAGATTCTTGAAAAAGCAGAATCTTTTGGAATCTGACAGATCTTTCCTGTGTGTGATTTATGGATAGAAGTGTGGGATTTTTGCACAAGTGGCTGCTTGCTTCCTTTGGTTGGTTGCTTTATCAGACATGTCCGGTCTTGCTGGGAACGGCTTCCCATGGGACGCTGGAGGGCAGGACGCCGGCTCCGCGTGTGCGCGCGTGGGTCCGGGCCGGGTGAGGCGCGGGGCGGCGGTGTGGGCCGCGCGGGGACCCAGCTTCTCTTACTGGGCTCGCGTGCCGTGCGTGTCTGCTTCGGCCCTCGCGGCGGGGTCATGCGCGCCCGACCTTCGCTTGAACGCGGACTGAAGCCCGCCGAGCGCTCTGCCTTAACTGTGCGTCCGCAGACATCGTGGACATCAAGCCCGTGAACATGGAGGAGCTGACGGAGGTCATCACCGCGGCCGAGTTCCACCCGCTGCAGTGCAACGTGTTCGTGTACAGCAGCAGCAAAGGGACCATCCGACTGTGCGACATGCGCTCCTCGGCCCTGTGTGACAGACACTCCAAGTGTAAGTGCCCGAAAGGCTCAGTCTGTCTCGCGTCGATGCCTTCCCCGGGCGCGAGACCATCTCCAGAGACTTCGCGTCTCTTCTGGGCGCCTCGTGCCCGCGCAGGCGTAGGACCGGCTTCTGATCCTGAGTCCCCGGGTGGCCTCTGGTGGGCCCTTGCCGGCGCCCGTGGACCACGAGGCCGTGCTCCCACGGACTCGCCGTTCGCTGTCCCCCGGTGGGGCAGCCGTCGTGTTCCCCCCACCCAGAGTCTCTGGGCTTCGTCCAAGGACTCCCAGCCGAGAACCATCTGTTGCCTCTACCTCTGTGCATTAGGACCTCGGCAGGGGCTGCCGGAACGCACCTCACTCGCGACGGTTCTCAGCTGTCGGGACGGGCTCTGTTCGCGGTGAGCTTTGCTGCACTCGAAGCCCGTTCCCGCAGGCGAAGCTCTAGCTGTAATCCTCTGAGCCTTGAAGTGTCTTCTAGGTGAGGACAGTTTCGTTTTTATGTTTAGCCGTAAAGAGCAGGCCCAGCCTTGTAAGGAACCAGAAGTGTGCGCGTTGCGCTTTGGGTCCCATGGTGGGGACTAGGCTGTGACTGGGGACTCTGCTCACGCGTCCTCACGGTCCGTTGACCGGTCCCGGCAGCCTGTCCGAGGACGTGCCTTCGTCTTCATTTCCCACGACGCTTGCTCCGCTGGTGAAATCTGTTCGCGGTCGTGGCGTCCGGAATGGCTCCCACACGACGCGTAGTGGCACCAGCAGGCCTGGCGTCCGTGTGTCGCTCTACCCGCTTCTCAGCTGCCCCTCTGCCCCGCGCGCGGTGTCCGCGGCCGACTGTGTTTTACAGAGCCCTCCTCTAGGACTCCCGCGGTCACAGATGAGCCTCCTGCCGCGTTGGCCTGTGTCTCTGAAGAGAACGTTCTGTTGTTGTCGTTAGTAATGTCCACCCAGTGCGGGGCTTGAACTCACAAGCCCAAGATCACGAGTCTCACGCTCCACCGAACGAGCCAGCCGGGCGCCCCTTAATGTTCTTGAGTAAACCAGGTTAGATACCAAAGTAGTTCTTGTCGGTAAAGTAATGGACTTGACGAATGTTTGGTGCTGCCACTGGCTTGCTTAAAATTAACTCTAAATGCGGAGCCATTTCCGGGTTCCTACATTTAAAGGAAAATAAAGCTAATGCGGCTTCAAAGGCGGACGCACGCACTCGGGGTTTCCGGGGCCGAAGGCATGACGGTGCAGTCAGAGGTCCGGTGTTGCTCTGGGCTCCCGACCACGGCGCAGGAGGAGGGCCGTTGAGTTTCTTCTGAGAAAGCAAAACCTGTGGGAGGAAGGAAGGTCTGCTAAGGAGGCACCTGGCGTCTTCCAGAAAGTAGTAATTCGGTTTTGTTACGCGGAGCTTGACTCCTGAACAGCAGAGACAGACGCCTTTCCTGACGGGCTGTGGTATATGGGGCCCGTTCTGGAGGATACTGTCCGGTCCCCGGTGTTCCCAGGTGACGCTGCTTTTGTCTTCCCGTGGCGTGGACGGGACAGGTCTGCACGTGGCTCGCTAGGGCCTGGACTGCTCGGACACGCTGGTGCCGTGGTCAGCACAGGGTTCTTGACCAAAAGGCCCGTCGGAGTGTCCTGAGGGGCGTTTCCAGGCCACAACCAAGGGCCTGTTCCGATGCTGTCCCTTAGCAGTAACTGGCACTGGGATGTGTCATCTAAGTCTCTTAAGCTCGGAAGTTGAAGGCCAGAAAACATACCAGAAAGACGAGAAGCGTGAGTGCTGTGCGGTCTGCGGCCCCCTGGGCTCCCCAGGGAGGGCCTAGGGACTTGAAACGGGGTTTGTTCTCTGGGTTTGTTGTTTTGTGGGGGGGGTTTGGTTTGGTTTGGTTTGGTCGTTTGTTTTAGAGCGTGAGTGAGCGGGGCCAGGGCAGAGGGAGACGGGGAGAGAATCCCAAGGAGACTCCGCTGAGTGCAGAGCCCCACGTGGGGCTCGATCCCACGACCCTGAGCTGAAATCACTTAACCAGCTCTGCCACCCAGGTATTCCCTGGTTTTTAAACAGAAGCTGAAAACTTTGTGTTTTTCAGTTTTTGAAGAGCCTGAAGACCCCAGCAGTAGGTCCTTCTTCTCAGAAATCATCTCCTCCATCTCCGACGTCAAGTTCAGCCACAGCGGTCGGTACATGATGACCCGGGACTACCTGTCAGTGAAGGTGTGGGACCTCAACATGGAGAGCCGGCCCGTGGAGACCCACCAGGTGAGGCCGCCGCGCAGGGAAGGTGCCACACCTGCGCGCGGCGCCTTCTGACTTTCCTGTGGTTTCCTTAAGGTGCACGAGTATCTGCGAAGCAAGCTTTGTTCTCTGTACGAAAACGACTGCATCTTCGACAAGTTCGAGTGCTGCTGGAGCGGATCAGACAGGTGGGGCGCGCGTCGTGGAGGAGCGGCCTGGGGGCTGCTGGGCTGTGCCGTCCAGGCCGCCTGCCTGCTGAGCGGCAGGTTCCAGGCAGAGACGAGGGGGCGTCGGAACAGCTGTCCCCTCGCTCACGACCCCGTCCTTACTCGGTGCACGTGCTATTATAGTTCCTTTTGGCTGTTTTTAAAAGACTTTTTAAATATTTCAAAATAATTTTCATTGTATTATTTCCAAGATGAGTGAGAAGGAAGGACTTAGCGCCAAGCATGTGGAATGGCCACGTTCCAGTTTGCCTTTCCTTCTGGAGGGAAGAAGGGAAATGCCGTCCGAGTTCACTGGCGGGGTGGCTGGCGTGAAGTCCCAGTGGCCTTGACGAGGCAGTGGCTCTGGTGTCTCATAGTTTATTTCGTGCACGTCCTTTGAGGAGGGCAATAACGGCCGTGCTGGTGAGGGCTGTGTTTTCGATCTCAGACAACACGGTGCGTTTCTGGTGCCGGAAGGAGACTGTCACCGTCCCTAGTAGAACGCTGCGTTATGTGGGGCCTCCCCGTGATGTGAGCGGCAAAGGCCTGTGCCGCTGGCCATGCCGCCACAGATCTCTGCACGTGGGTCACGGAGCGCACAGGTAAGCGAGGGAGAGTGCGCGATGGCCACATGAAGAGGCGACGGGAAGCAGAAGGTCCGGGAAGCTGGAGTGCCAGGCTGGCCCGGGCACATCTGATCCCAGGACCCGGCGGGCTAGGTTTTCACAGGGGAGGCTGGTGCGCTGCAAGAAGCCTTGGGTCCGCACAGTGCGCACTGGCAGTGAGACCCTCAGGGATTATGGAAACGGCATCATCCATCTTCGTCCAGATGGGAGTCCTGAGGGGAGTGGGCCTGACACCCTGGCGGGTGGGAGAAGCATGAAAGTCCCCGGAGATGTGGAACCGTCAGCCTGCCCTCCCTCCCAGGATGTGGCATTTGTATCCGGACCGGCTATGTGACCTGGAAAAGCTAACTGAGGAGTCAAGCCCTACAGAGCGGGCAGGGCTCTGGGCTTCGGGAAGAGCAACCACTTCAGGTCCTGCCTTCTTGTCATGCCGACCGCCACCTCTCCGTGTTCCGTGGGCGCTGTGGCAGACGCGAGCCCCCCGGGGCAGAGGCAGAGCACCGGGCTCCACCCGCCCCGGCAAGCAGCACACGCCTCATGCGGGCATCCGTTTCCCAAGGCTCTGGCAGCAACACCAGGGCTCTGGGCAGGGCCGCACAAGCAGTGGGGTTGGGGTCCCAACCAGCACGCACTCAGCTCCGGCAGAGAGGCCGCACACCTGCGCTTGGACGCGGCGGGCCCTGGCGCCCGGCTTGGGAGAGAGCACTCCAGCGTCGCGCTGACGGCAAACCCACCGAAGACCTGGCGGTGTGCCTCACCCGGCACCCCTGGACTCGGGGTTTCCCCCCATGAAAAGCCGTTAGATGCGAGCGTACGGGTGAGAAGTACCGGGTACACGTGGAGCTGCTGTGAACAAGTCAGAAATTGCAACAGAGCTTCCCCTCTGGGGAGTCCGATCCTGGAGCGTAAGTTGCAGGGCCTAAGAGACGAACGCTGGAAATGTTTTCAGATCACCGGAAGGAATCCTAAGAGCCCTAAAAATGACGTAGGAAATTCGTAAAGGAATCAAACAGGACTTCTAGAAACGAAAAGCGCAGTGGTTGAAAACGGCTGTGGACTTGGTAGGAGACCCAGAGTAGCAAGACAGACCGTGGGTTTTTGAACTGAAGAGCATCAGAGGGGCCCAGCGTGCCTCTGGAGTGTGGCCACTGGGACCTGTGGAAGGTCAGGAGCACCTGGGGCACAGGGTGGTGGGGGGGACCGGGCAAATTGCAGATGCCCAGGAGTGCCTGTGGCGCAGCCAGATCGGGGATTTCCGGGAGCTGATGGGAGAGTGAGCGCATGGATTCAGGAGGCTCAGAAACCACCCCCACCCCCGTGTCCGAACAAAACCACAGGCACCAGATGCAAAGAGACCTTGAAAACAGCCGTGGAACGCCTGACGCGCTACTTGGGAGAACAGATGGTCCGGCTGAGAGCGGCCCGGTCCGCACAGCAGGTGGACGGCGCAGCAGGTGGACGGCGCAGCCAGCCCTCGTCCTTGCCCCAGCACGCGGGGACAAAGCTGCTGTCAGCCCGGGGGCGTGTGTCAAGATGGGGATCGCTCAGAACGTGTGTGCGATAAGTGGCTTTCAGGTGGAGAGCAGTTGACCCCGACGGGGAGCTCACGAGACGGGGCGCACCCCCCAGAAAGGACGCCATCTTCGAAAGCAGCCGCCGCCGGCCCCAGCCCTGTGAGCAAAGCTGAGGAACGTGGACGCCGAACGAGTCATTTGTCTCGGTCGTCCATGTTGGGGGACAGGTTATGGCTCTCCCTCAGCCAGAGGGAACAAGCTGCGTGTTGTACAGACGCGGCCAGAGCCGTGGGAGAGCGCCGCGTGCGGTGAGCCCAGATCCAGGTGGAGGTGGTGTTGGAGCGTCAGCGGCGTTTACCGGGCAGATGGACACATGCTGGGTGCGCAGTAAAGACGGAACCCGCACGAGCGGAGAACTACAGCTGCTCAAGAGAGAAGCGTCAGACTCTGCAGAGGATTCCTGGTCGGTAGGAAAGTGACAGCTCAGGAATGGGAGTTAATAGAAATGGGAAGAAAATGGATAAAAATGCTCATTTTCATTAGGAGTCACCAGGTCAGAGTGACCGGGATGCCGTCCCAGAGCTCTCACGACGACAGTGACGTCAGGCAGGCTGGGGGTGGAGGCCGATGACCGTGGTCCTCTGGAGACTAGCAGCGGCCCGCGTGTTTGTGGGTCAGTAAAGTGCGCACAGGCAGGAAGAGCTGTTCAGAGACAGGAACTAGCGAACGTGTCGGGTTGAGGGGACAGGGAACGGGTCCTCCCATAACCTACGACAGGAAGAACCGTAGGTGACCTCACAGGGATAAAGACCGGAGAGCGCGCGCTGTTGGAAGACGATGACTCGATGTCTTCTGTGTCTTGTAGAACGCACGAGATGGATGTGTTTTTAAGAATGTGTAACTGTTTGACACGTAAACGTGTCCCGGAATGATCCTGTCCTGCTCTGAGGACTGACCGTCCTGCTAGGGGCCCCGGGTGGGGGACCAGTCTTTCTGGACCAAGCGGGCGGGTAGGTGGACAGTGTATTTTTCTTTATGCCTCTTGGTATATCCAAAATACTGAAACATTCCCTTAAGTCACCATCCCCAGGAACGTCGGAGAGCTTTCCAGTAACAGCTGCCTGTTCTTTCATCCCTGCCAACCCTCCCCTGCCTTCTGGCCAGGAAGCCCCTCTGGAGGGATGGTGTGGCACGAGGGGGGATCCGCACTCCACCCGGGGCTGTGCTGTCCCTGGCACCGCCTGGCTGTGCTCAGGTGGTCCAGCAGCAAAAACGGACATACCACTTGTTCCTGAGTCTGCTTTGTACCCGCGAACAGGGTGACACCTGGCCAAGTGCTCGGGAAGGTGGTCGTCTGTGTGGTTTGGGTCACTGGACCAGTGCGGTGGGGACGCCGCCTTCCCAGCTCCTGGGAAGGCCCGGTGGTCAGAGCAGCCGGGGTCCGGGGTCTGCCGCAGTCAGTCTGCTGTGGTTCTGCCTCGCACAAGACAGCGGGCCCTGAGGGAGCCTCCCGCCCTCTGTGTTCCCAGGAAATGTGGCTTCCCGAGCATGGACGGCAGCTCCCCGTGGGCGCGCCCCACTCAGCCTTCGCTGCTGGCATCCGGCCCGAGGCTGAGCTGGCGAGCGTCCCCGGCTGGGCACTCCCGGGGCTCAAGAGCAGAGTGGTCTCGGAGTTGAGCCTGTTTCCTGCGTGCGGTTTAGTCAGACCCCGGGGGGTTCGCCCGCGGTCAGGGTCAGCTGCTGGCCGTGCCTCGATCGGACAGTGGGCTGCGGGGTCTGCAGTGGGGCTCGTCCTAAAGCCGTGGGCCAAATCATGGCAACACGGACTGTGAGCCATTTTCCTCTCCGTTTTGTAGAAAAAGACCAGAAGTTTCTACCCGTGTAACAAATGTTTTGACTGTAGAAACGGTGGAATCATTAACGGAAGCATTAATGCTGGAGAAAGAAGAACGTGGGCAGCACGGCAGCGTCCGAGACCCACACTGAGGTCGAGGACTTCTCCTCTTTGTGTTCCTGTTGCTTCCCGTGAAACAACTTTTCGACATCAAAATGAATCAAGTACTGTTCAAGCAACCGTGTGTGGTGCTGGGACAAGTCTGGCTGATGTCCCCTGAGCACAGCTTCGGTCATCGGCAGAGTTGCAACCGTTCCAGACCCGAAAACAAATACACTGTTACTGTGGCTGGCACCGGTCACTGTGTCGGGGTTTTTTGGTTTTTTTTTTGTTTTTTTTTACTTTTTTAAAAACTCATTAACGTGGGGCGCCTGGCTGGCTCTGTCAGAAGAGCGTGGGACTCCTGATCTCCGGGGTGTGAGTTGGAGCCCCACGCTGGGTGTGGAGATCACGATAAAAACAAAAAAGTGTAATTAAAAGTGTGACTGTTCTTTTTTTCCTTCCTATTCTGTACTTTTTTTTGCTGACGTGATTGTACGTACACCGTTGAGCAGGAAGTTTCCCCTGCATGTCTCTCCAGACCATCCTTAGTGTCGTTTTTTCTAGAAAGGTCTCGTCGGGTAGAGGAGGGGTGAGGGAAGGGGCCCCGTGCGTGGCAGGGGTGTTGAGTGCTTCCTCCTTGACAGGCGTTGCTCTTTCTTCTTGTCTCGCAGCGCGATCATGACGGGGTCCTACAACAACTTCTTCAGGATGTTCGACCGGAACACGCGGAGGGACGTCACGCTGGAAGCTTCCCGGGAGAACAGTAAGCCTCGGGCCAGCTTAAAGCCTCGGAAAGTGTGCACAGGCGGTAAGAGAAAGAAGGACGAGATCAGCGTGGACAGCCTGGACTTCAACAAGAAGATCCTGCACACGGCCTGGCACCCGGCGGAGAACGTCATCGCCGTGGCCGCCACCAACAACCTGTACATCTTCCAGGACAAGGTCAACTAAGGAAGCCAGCGCGCGGACTGAGCCCGGCCGTCCTCTCAGAGGAGGGGCGCTGTCCTCCCCGTGAGGGGCACGCGGTGCTGCCCGCTCCCCTTCGCAGACGGGACGGGCGGCCTCCACCTGCAGCAAGCCGGGCGCGGGCCGCTGCTCCGCGGAGCCCTGCTCAGCGCGCAGTCGGGGGACCGTGCTCAGTGAAGGCCGTTACTCGGAGCACGTGTCTTTATTCAGGCTGAGCCTTCCTTTCCGGTTCGCAGACCGAAAGGTTCACGCCCCAGAGGAAAGCTGTCTGACGGAACATCTCTTTTTCTGAAACTCTTACCCCCCTGGCTCCCCCCGTCACACTCGGGCCTTCACACGTGCGTGCCATCGTGCCCCCGCCCCTCCGCCGTCCTCCGAGCCCGGGTGGCCCTGTCGAGGGCGTGGTTCCCCGAGCAGGTCCCGCAGCTTTATACCCCCCACACCTGTACCTGCCCTCACGGCCTCGGGTGTGACCACTGAATAAAACAACACACTATAAAAAGTGGTTTTAAATCCAAGATAAGTATCGGCCTTTTATTTGCTCTTGTTGCACGTCACGAAGTTCTGCAGAATCGCGCTTTGGAGCAAGGGCTACGACTTCTGTCCCTCGCGGGCAGGATAGCAGCGCTTGGGCCGGGAGCCCGTCCGTCCCAAACTTGAAGTCTGTTTTGTTTCTGTGGAAATGGTGCAGGGAACGCGCCAGGTAAGGTCTGCGCGAAGCCTGGCCCCGGCCCCCGGAGAGAGCCGTGAGCGGCGCCGTCGCTGCCCGAGGGGACACGTCTGAGTCCCTCAGCGCCTCGGTTCACAGCGGGGACGCGGACGTGCTTTGTTTCTAAGCCTTTTCAAAGAGGACTTGTGGGAGGGACGTTCTTTCTACAAACTGCCGGGATCCCACGCGCGCTGGCCTCGCTGCTTCCCGAGCCCGTGTGTGACGCCCTCGCTGCCTTGGGGGTGGGTTTTTAAAGCAGGATCTTTGATACCAGAATTGGGCATTTCCCAACACAGTACAGACACGTACCAGGGCCAAGTGACTGGACCTTACTGGGATTCCACACACGGCCCTAGTCACAGTGTCCTCCGGGGGACGGGAGCACCCGGCCACATGCGCCGGTCTTGAAATTTTCAGGCGTATCTTGAGTTACCACCACCCGCAAGAACAGAGACCTTCGTGATGAGCCTGCGTTCGCCACCCCGAGTGAACAGGATGCCACTTCAACACACACTAGGTTGGAAACGGAGAATTTCAAGTACAGTTGACCTCCGCGTAGTTCTCACTGTGTGTCCGCTGCCGGCACAGTCTGACCGAGCCGAGGTGTGGAGCGCGGCTCTGCGAGGACTCGCCACCCCGGTCCTCGGGAAGAGTGCTAGTGGGCTGGCGTACCGTGTCAACTGTCGGGAAGGCACAGCGAGTTGTGAATGTTGAACCGGATGCGGCGGTGCGTTCGGGCCCGCCCGTCACCGAGGGGCCCCCGCGGAGGGCAGCGCTGCCCCTGCGGCCGCCACGGCGCTCCCCGTTCTCTCGTTCGCGGTTACAGACACCGTCTCCGTTGCTGAAAGTGAGTTGTGCGAACCGTTTCGTTCTTAGAATTCTGTGCCGCTGTTTTCCTCGAAGCCTTCACGTTCTCCAGGCACCTGCGTCGCGGTGAAACGCTTTATTCGTGTGTGGATTTGCACACGCTTTTTTTGTTTTGTTTCTTTGTTTTCAAGAAAAATCGAGCTCCTAATAAGCTAGTGTGAGATTCAGGAGCCTGGTGGTCAGCTGTCCGCACATCACGGGCGCTTGCCGTGGGACGACGGCAAAGGCCACGGCTCTGCCCGCTCTCGGAGGAGTCCGCAGTCGGAGGCCGTGTGCCCCGCGCCCCAGGCAGCCCCCGCGGGCGTCCCCGGCAGCCGGGCTGAGCCAGGGGCTCTGCTGGTCCAGGCTGTGCTCAGGGGGACTCATCTGCAGGTCTTTGCTTAAGGGGGTTGAGAAGAAGGTCCAAATTCGCACTTGGACTTCTCTCTCTCACACCCGTGCCCTGTGCACGGAGCAGCGGGAGCCCTGACCCGGTCGGCCTGGGTGACGGCGACGACTCGGCTCCGGAGGGGAAGGAGCAGCAGGCCCTGCCGTCCGCAGGATGTCGGTCCTCGCGCAGAGCCGCGGTCTGAGGTGGGGGCTGCCCGAGGACACTGCTGGGGGTGGAAGCGGCGACACAACCATCATTCCCATCACGGCCCGGCTCGGGTGCTCTGGCCGCCGAGTGCAGCTAGTCCAGAAAAGTCTCGCGCAAGCTGGTGTGAAAACCAACCAAGACCCGGTCCTTGGCCTTCCCGGTGCAGAGAAGGCGGCACCCGGGGCCCCCAGACGGCAGCCTTCAGGCCTGGGCCTGCTGAGCCCGAGTTCCTCTGCTCGCTGGGCCGGACCGATCGCGTGGTCCGCTGACACCTGCCTGGCCGGCCTCCACCCTGCTTGCCTTGGGTCCCACCTTCGGTGCGAAGGGACTCCTTTGTGCCCAGGGCAGGGAGCACCCCAGGGGTCTCTGCACGGTCTGGGGTCAGGACAACACATGGGTCAAAGGCAGCGCTGCCCCCAACACGGGCCGTCACAAGTAGTCGTGGGGCGTCACCGGCCTGGGCGCAGGTCCTGATGGTGCGCACCCCTTCCCCTCGGCCGGCGGTTCCCCCACACCAGTCCGCTGGGGGTCCAGGTGGATACCCGGTGGCACATGGTCATAGTGGGGGGCTCTGGCTTGCACGCTGGGCCTCTGGGCCCCACACTGCAGCCCCCCCAGAGCTGGCGAGGGGTGGGTGTGTATAAGATGCGGAGCGCGTGCTCGCCGTGGAGCTGTGGCCCCGCAGCGACAAGCAGAAGAATGTGTGGAGGGGGGTCCGCTGGGCCTGGCATCCGCCGGCCCCATGTGCACCTCGTCCAGCAGCGTGTCCCTGTCCTCAGAGCATGAGTGCCGGTGGCATCCCAGCACCGGGTGTCCAGGGCAGGCAGCTGCCCCCTTGGCTGGGAGTCTGGGCTTCCACCACGTGGGACCACCCGGCCCGTCTTCCTGTCCTGCCTCAGGTGGCACTTCTCCCCTGAACACACGCCTGCGTCCATTCTCGGCTCCATGCCGTCGAGGATGGCGAGAGCTGGTGACACCGCGGTTTCTCTGATGACCCCGTACCCGGTAAGTCCCGACAGAGCCCCGTACCCGCGCGGATCTGCACATGCCTTCTGTGGGAGATCCCCTCCAGGCCGCACACTCCGGGGCGTGTCGCCGGCACCCTGGGGGCACCGCCGACAGCCTGCTCCTGGCCGGGGTCCGTGGCTATGCGGGTGGCCGCTGGAGCACAGAGGGCCCGGAGGTGTGGGGAGGGCCCTGCCCCCGTGGGGGGCTCCCTCGCAGCCTCACACCCTCCCCAGGCTGTTGGGTGCGCCTCTGAGAGGCACTGAGACAGTCCACTCGTCTGCCCCAGAGGTCATGGTCAGTGTCTCTGCGGATCTCGAGACATCTTTGAAAATGTGTGTTCCATGCGGGTGAGAAGCAGGACTTTGTCGTTATTCCAAGAACGTTCGTTGGACAAGTACGTTCTCTGAAATCGAAGTATTTTAATGCAGCGTAATTCTATGGCTCTTGTTAGAAAGGTGATTTCCTTTTTTTTCAGTCGAGGTCCCGGAACAGAGACCAGTTTCAGGGGGACACGATCGCGGTCTGCTCACGCCGGGGAGTGAGCACCACAGCGGCTCCGGTCGGTGTCGGTGCCGACGCTCACAGAACCCCGTCTCCTGTGACGAGAACCTCTCAGAGCTGCTCCCGTCCAGCTTCCAGGTGCTGTTACTACCTGTGGTCCCCACGCCCCGACTTCCGTCCCCGCGGCTTGGGTGTACAGCGGACAGCGGTGCCTTTTCATTCCTTCCGCCCGTTTCTGCCGGCCCGACTCCGCTCTGGCGGCCCCCAGCCCCCTCCTGTGTCCGTGAGCTTGAGGGTTGGTTTGCTTCGGTTTTAGATCCCCCATGGGGGCGCCCCGGGGGGCTCCGTCTGTGAAGCATCTGCTTCGGCTCAGGCCATGATCGCAGGGCCCTGGGAGGGAGCCCCACGGCGGGCTCTCCGCTCAGCGGGGGGGTCTGCTTCTCCCCCGCCCCTCCCCCTGCTCGTGCGCGCTCTGCCTCTCGAACAACATCGTAAAGAAAAAACAAAAGATCCAGGGGTCAGTGAGCTCGGGCGGACTCCTTCACTCAGCGCCATGGCATCGGGCTCCGCCATGTTGGAAGCGAAGGAAACGGCAAGATTTCCTGCTGGTTTGTGGCTACATAGAATTTCCGTGTGTGCGCGAGACAGGCAGCGCACATTTCACCCATTTAAGGTGAACGCTGAGGCTGTTGCCCAGTTTGGGCTGTGGGACGCAGCGCTAGGAACCGGGGTGGGGGTAGCGTCCGATCAGTGCTCTGCTGGCTCCGGCGCACGGGCAGGGGCCGCGGCCGCGGCGCAGCGGTCCTCACCGGCCGGAGGAGCCTCCGCTGTGCGCAGTGGCCGTGGCAGCTCGCACCCCGCCGGCCGGCCCGAGGGCTCCCTCTCCCCACACCCTTGCCAACACCTGCTGTTCTGATGTTGGCCTTGGGACAGGCGCGAGGCCGGGCCTCACTGTGGTTCGGGTGTGCGTCGGCCCGATGGCCGCGATGTGGAGCGCGGCTTCCCGTGTCTGCTGGCCGTCTGCACGTCCGCTCGGGAGAAAGGTCTGCTCGTGTCTTCTGCCCGTTTTTAACCCAACCGACTTGTTAGAGGCGGTCGTGGGGCTTGTTCTGAAGGTCAGTCCCTCAGACACGCGGTGTGCAGACATTCCGTCCTACTCCGCAGGTTGCTGCTCCGTCATGCCCACGGCCTCCCGGGGCGAGCACCAGCTTTTCCGTTTGCTCTAGTCCCACTGGTTTATTTTTGCTTTTGTTGCTTTTGCATCAAATCCAAAAATCCATCCCCAAGATCAGGGTCAGGGAGGTCACTGCCCATGGTCTTAAATTCATTGTTGGGTGTTTTTAACAGTTTTTCTAAAGATTTTATCTTATTTTAAAGATTCATTTCAGGGGCGCCTGGGTGGCTCCGTTGGTTAAGCGTGTCTTCGGTTCAGGTTCTGGGTGGGATTAAGCCTCATGTCGGGTTCCCTGCTCCCTGGGGAGCCTGCTACTCCCTCTTCCACTGCCCCTTCCCTCACTTGTGCTCGCTCAAATAAATAAAATCTTTAAAAAAATACTTTAAAGGGCGTGCAGGCAGGGGCAGTGGGAGAGGGAGACTCCAGCAGACACCCCACGGAGCGCAGAGCCCCACGCGGGGCTCCATCTCACGACCCTGACATCATGACCTGAGCCGAAATCAAGAGCTGGAGGCTTCACCGACGGAGCCCCCCAGGCGCCCCGAGACGTGAACGTCCTCTCTGTGCCCCACGGGGGCTTGAACTCTCCACCCGCAGAGCCAGCCGGCGGCCCACGTCACACTGGGCGGCAGCACAGGGGTCCGGACTCCCCAGCCCCGGGCTCCGGCCGCCCCTCTCCAGGGTGCTGACCGTGTGCACGGGGGTGGATTCCGGCCGCACGAGGCGTCCTCACCGTCACGCTGAGTTCCCGTTTTGTGAGGACTCTCTGGGGGAAGACATCCTGCCGTCTTCACACCTTTACCCACTCACTGCAGCACCCACGGGCTGGGCAGCTGCTCGCCTGCTGGTCAGTCCTCCCGTCGGCCCTTCTGCATGGAGCTGCAGTCCTGAAGGAGAACGGTGCCTTTCTCCCACCTCTCTGCTGTCAGTGTGGACCCCGGCACGCCCGCCAGTCTCAGGTCAACGTCCATTACTGCTGTAGCTTGTGCCTTGGTTGTCCCACATCTGGGTTCCTCCACGTTGGCTTCCGTCCTTTCTCTGGGCTGGCTTTGAGCCCTTCCTGACTCCCGGCCCAGACAACGGCCGGCCCACCGCCGCTGATGGCCATCAAGCCCTTTGCACAAAGCTAGATCTGGGTTTCCTGCACACTCGCGTGGATGGCCTTGGCTTAGGACCCACCCCTTCCTGGCCACTCTGTGTGTCTGCGGGTCCACCTCCCCCACCCCGCCAGGGCAGCCTCCTTTAAGAGTCAAGTGTCCCTCTTGGCGTTCCATTTTTAATCCCATTGAGAACGTTGGTTTTAGTTACGGATTCTGGCTGAGAAGCACCGCTCGGGTTCGGAGTCACGGAAAAGGCACTAAGCCTTCCTTCTAGACCCACTCCCCGTACCCACCCGCCAGCACCCCCACCCCCAGCAGCAGCCGGTCTCCTGCACTTCTAGATCCATCCGTCCTTTTTCCCAAGTGAGTTCTATTTTCTTCCATGCGGTTTTGCACAAACAACAGACGCCATATGTTTTCTTTCAAATGCTTTTTGTTCACTAGGCTGCAGCTTGGGTTCAGCTCCTCTCTCCTCCGTGGTTAGTATCCACTGGACAGCTCGTCTGATGCCAGAAGGCCCATGTCCGGGCTGGGCCGCCCTCCCCAGGCAGCCTCTCCCCGAGGCACTCGGAGTCCCTGGGAGCGCAGCTGGCCCAGAGTACTGCCCCCGCCTCCCACTACCCAAGCAGGCCGGTCCCCAGAAGGGAACTCAGGCAGGGAGACCGACCAGTCGAAACGTGGCGGCGGCCATGCTCTAGCTGCCAGCCACCAACTCCAGTACCCATGTCTTGGAGAACCTACATCCCAGAAATCCCTGTTTGTTGAAACCTCTTGGTCATTCGGAGAAGCCACACTGGGCTCCAGCACGGGAGCCCCATGGCACGTGCACCCGGCCAGCTGCGCACCTGCACTGAGCCGCTACGTAGCACGTGTTACTGGACACATCCCTGTAGGGTGTCGGGCCTCCAGAGGTTCATCTTCAGGACAGAGTCCTACGAGTGGGTCACAGGTCAGAAGGAAGGAGCAGGTGGCTTTCCAGGTGCCTGGTTTCTCTCCAGAGCCGGATCTGCCTGTGCTCCCCACGCCCCAGCGCCCCACTGGCGCCTGCAGGTGTCTGGACCAGAAGCTGCGTTCAGGAGGACCAGTTCCGTGTCCGGATTCCTTAACACAGTCCGAGCACATGCACTTGCTACTCAGCAAATTCAGTGGCAAGTACAAAGGGCCACCTGCAAGACCCCAAGGCCTACAGTGCGGTTATCCCAAACGCGAGGACACACACACCCACACACACCCACGCAAATACAGCGCTTCAAGGAGTCCAATGTCCACCCTCACACTGAGTGGGAGGGGCCTCCAGAAAGCCCAAGGCTCCATTCCCAGGTCACTCAGAAAAGCACTTTCCCAACAGCCCCGGGGGCCTTCTACCCAGTTCTGCTCACTGCTCAGTGCCACCAAGACGGGGATTAATGACTGCCTTGCAGAGGGCCCCAGTCGCCCAGGCGATAGCTCGGGAAAGCCACGGGGTAGCGCCCAACCCTGAAGACGAGGGGACCTCGCGCGGCCCTGCTGGCTGTGGCCCCCATGGGCAGGCGCTCCAGCCCCCAGCATGGAACGACGAGCCCCCGTTTCCGGCGAGGGGCAAATCCACCCGCTGTGAGTCACAGGGACTGGCTGGGCCAGAGCACGTCCCCGTGACTGGGGGCTTCACCTTTTCTGGAGAAGTCACATGAACGATTCTCCCAGTGAGGCGGCGGTCCACGGCTGGTCCAGGGCAATTGATTAAATGTAAGCAGGAATGTTAAAAACGAAAATCTTGTTTAACACAACTGAGCTGAGGGTGGAAATGCAGGACAGATACACGTGGGGACATGGGCCCAGGAGGCAGCCTTGCGGAGGTCACGCTTCAGGAAGGTAACGGGACAGCGGGGCAGACGCCTGGTTTAATCAGAAAGCTTTCTGACCTTTATTTTTTTTTACGGTTTTTTTTTTTGTTTTTTTTTTTTTTTAACATTTCATTTAAACCATACATGACCACAGTCCTCTCTGAAGGATTTGGCCGAGATTTATTTTTTTCTATTTCCAGTCTCTTGTAGACAGAGTTTTGCTTAGAATGAAGCGGATTCTAGGAGAAACCGAACACAAAGAAGAGGACTCGAGTCAGCAATCCAGGCGCTAAGGGAGAAGACGTGAGCAGGTGCCCAAGACCGAGGACGACTGTCCTGGGCGGCTGCGGGGCCCGCGGCTTCGTGTCGGAGGCGGACGCAGCCGTAGGCGTCCGCTCCTCGGACCCGTCGCGTGGCGGTCGGCGGAGTCTGCAGCGGAGACAACCTGCCCACTCACACCCAGCGCGTCCTAGACCATGTGAGTGTAAGGCCACAGTATGCACTCGGGACAAACCCCATATGTAGTCATTTTAATAAACATTCCTTCTCATTTTAATAAACATTATTCATTCTTCTCAAATATAAAGATATTTTAACTGAGTAACTGGATACAGGTAATTCTGTTAAAATACTACACGTCGTATCTAGTGTGTTGAAATTACTTACACTTTGCTACTTAGGGTCTCCAAACAAACTCACTACCCGACTACAGGCGTCCCTCAGCAGCACATGCGCAGTAATTGATCCCGTAGGTCTGATTACAGCTTAGCGTGTTGGGGTTTTTGTCTTGTCCTTCGGTCGAGCGGACGGGGAGCGCACGGTCCGCAGACCATCCGGCCGCTTCGAGAGGCTCCACTCGGCCCCAAGCGGCTCTTCGGCTCACGGCGCCGACCCCCCACTACGGGACAAAGGCCAGCTTCCAAGTCTTCATCAGAAGGTGCTGGTGGAAGTGGTCAGGCGCCTCCCGATGTAGATCCTTCACAGAGAAAGCAACAGCAGTTAGCACAGGGCCCACGGCTCTCCCGGCGGAGACTGGGTGTGCGGGCGGCCCGGAGCTCCGGCCGCGAGGACGGGCTACCCTCAACCTGCTACTAAGAACCTGGTGTTGAATCTCTCCTAAGGGTCTCTCGCCGGGTGAGCGCGTCAGGGTTCAGCGTCCCGTTTTTCATCCACCTCGGAAAACGGCCAGCCGTGCTCTCGCACGGGTGCGCTCGGTCCCCAGACAGAGGCGGCCACTAGCCAGCCACAGAAAGGCCGTCGTGGTCAGTCTTGGAGTTCACACAGTGACACGCTGCTGGGGAGTCACCCACGGGGCGTCACCACCCACCGCACCCGCGGGCAGAGAGCCCCAGGTCCTGCCGGGAGCCGCCTCAGAGGAACGGGAGGCTGGACTTCGGGCACCAGAAGCTCCACGAGCCTGGCAGAAGCAGAGAGGGGCAGGGACGGTGCGTGGCAGCGGGCCGCAGGGACTTACCCCGAAACGAAGGCCCAAGCCAGGGACTGAACGAGCCCCAGGCCCTGCTCCCACAGAGCCTGCTCCCACAGGCTCCCACAGAGCCTAACCTGCTAGCCCTGGAGAAAACTGAGCCCGGCTCTGAGACGCATGGGCCAGGATGAAGCCGGCGGGGCCGAGCTGAGAGCCAGAGCTCCGAGCCGGAAGGGGGCATGGTCTGGCCCAGGACGGGGAGGGCTTCACGTTGGACACTGACGTCCAGGAGCCTCTGGCCCACTGGGAAGCCGTGTCCCAGGCACAGTTCCCAGAACGAGGGTACGGGGCTCTGAAGGGAGCGCGGGGAAGGCAGCCCTGTGCTTGCTTGCTTCCCACAGAGCTGGCGGGCGAGACGGAACCTTCCAAGACCAGGAAGCGCCCACCTGCCCTAAGACTTCGAACACCCCAGATCTCTTGCGCCCCATCGCCGGGATCTGGGAAAATAGGGGGACGGTGCTTCAAGGCCTGTCTCGTCCATTTCCCTGGGGCCTGGGAGGCCAGCCTCCATCAGACGCTCACGGTGACCGTCCGGTCTGTCCAGCCAGCTGCATGCACTGAACACCATGGCACCCCAAGACAGAGGCTGGAGGGAAGCCCGGCCCGTGGCGCGAGACACCAGAGCCAAGTGGCGCTCGCTCCCCTGCTGTGGAGCACGGCTGCGCTGTGGATGTGGGGCGGCTCCTGGGCCGGCCAGCTGCAGCGAGGGACAGCTCAGCGTGTCCGTGCAGCGTCCGTCCACATGGCGCGAGAACGCAACGAGTGTGGCTGAGTCCACACTGACACGGGACGGTCAAGGAGGCACCAGGCAGACGCACGCTCAGGGCTCCATCGGGGCCACCCCCACAGCAGGGCCAGGAGCGCGGGGGCTGGGGCCCTTCCCGGGTCTGGGCCCGCGATCCGGGCCTCACGTTACGGAAGCGGACTGACGATCTGCACCCGGAGGACAGGTTTCCACATCCCCTGCACTCGGGACCACAAGGAGGCGGACCCGCACAGCCTCACTCACCCCAACCCGATGGCCAGCAGGTGAGAGAGCAGCAGGGACGGGAGGAAGACCTTCAGGAACTCCGCCGAGAAGATGCCCCCCTTCTTCATGACGCTCGTGTTCCTCATGCTGAGCGTGGCCGTGCGCTTCGGGTGCTTGAACAGCAGCTCCCTGGGGAGGGGGACACGCAGTGAACCCCCAGCCCCATGCCCGGGACGCCCCCGCGCCATCGCACACACTCACTTGGGGGGGATGTTTTCTGGCCGACTCGACCAGTCCCAGATCCAGTCCGAGTTCTTCTTCAAGATGCTCTCGACTTCCTTCCTTCTCTCCATATAATCTTCCTCCGACTACAGCAGAATCAACGTGCACCGCCACTTAGCGCCGCCCGGCCCCATGGTGCCCCGCGCCGCGCGTCGCGCGTCCCTCTGCCCCAGACAGACACGGGGCAGCAGACACGGGCTCCTGAGGAACAGGCCGCAGGAGCACGACGGCGTCCACACGCCCACGCCAACCGCGGGGCAGGTTTTCCGCGGAGAAAATCCAAGTGCCCCGCGGCCCACACGGCTGGGGCGACCCAGGGCCGCGGCCGCGGTCTTTGAAAGGGCAGTTTCGTTCAGTGGGAGGGAAAGAACCAAAAACTCACACACCTGCGATACCTAAGGCCAAACACTAATGACAGGAGACTTTGGTTTTTTGCTTTTAAAAAACTCTGAACCTGAGTCTGTAATTCCTCCTGAAGTCGGCAACACCACTGCTTCCAATTCTGGACACACTGGAATGCAGGAGCAAACCCAGCCAGCTGCCCTGAGACCACCACCTGGGGGACCCGGGAGGAACGAAGCCTGGGTGGGAGGGAGGCCCGGCAGGGGGACCCCACGGGATCAAGGGCCGCAGTGGTACTGGTCACAAGGCGCCACTTCCTAAGCGATTTTGGAATCAACACAGGGAAGGTCCACGGTTCGTGATCACCACTGAGAACACCCAGAGGACGCGTCCCCCACACCCCACCGCGCGCAGGGGCCTCACACGAACTAACTGGCCCGCCGGCTCCTGACACGGAACAGCGGAAGCGCCGCCCGGCGCAGCAGGGCCAACCCAACTGCCGGCCGCGACAGAGCGCCCACGCTGAGTGGCCCCCAGGGGCCCTCCCTGCCAGCCCCATCGGTCCGGCCGGGCTCCAGGCCTGAGGAAGCCGCCCGCGCTCCTCGTGTGTCCTCGGGTGCAGCTGAGGGCAGTGGAGGCCCCACGACCCCTGCTCCGGTCAGCTCAGCGGGAGGCCGAGTGTGGGGACGCCCCCACCGCAGCTCTAAGAAAGCAAGAGCCCCCGCCCCCAGAACACCGCTCTCTGCTCCGCCCCACTGCCCGCGCCGCCCACCTGAGAGCTGTTCTTCTCGCCGATGCTGTGCGTGTCGAGTTCCGAAGCTCGGGCGGTATCCTGCGGGGTCTGAGAGCGAGGGGGGCTTGGGGGGCGCAGGGAGGAAGACGGAGAAACCGGGATGTTAGCACGGTTTCTGTCATGAGAAGCCAAGCTCCCCGCAGGCCCGGCCCTGTCTCCTCTGAAAGGAGGAAGCGCTGGCCCCGGCCCCCAGGTCTCCCCTCCCACCGTCCCCGGTCCCCTTCGGCTGAGCTCGGCAGGCGGCAGGGAGCCGGGGACGACACCACCCACAGTGCAGCCCGCCCGCGGCCTTCTCACCGGTCTGTGCTCTGCGGCACAGCCCGAGGGCCCCTGACCTTTGCTTTCTGACTCAGCCCTGCTAACACACGGCAGCTCGCAGTGACCAAGCTGACGGAGCCAGGACACGCCGGGGGCACTGGGTGCATGCTGGCCGCCCCCCAGGCCCCAAGCTTTGCCGCGGTCCCTCCACAGGCCAGACCCCATCCTTCCCAGGAGGGCAAGGCTCTGGCAATGCAGGCAGGGGTGGGGAGGCCACTCCGGGACGCGGCCGCACGTGCAGACGGGCCCCTTCACACCCACCTGTCGCAGTGGGAGCTCTTCGAGCTGCTCCGTCCGGACTCGTGCTGGGCGTCCAGCAGTATTTTTTCCAGGTCGCCGTTATACACAGACACGGAGGCCGGGACGCCGCTGCCGCTCCCGTTCCCGTTGCTGAAGTGCAGTTCCACCCAGGAGCCTGGCGGAGACACAGAAGGGCCCGGTGGGATCTGCTGCCCACTGCGGAGCCCCGTCCTAGCGTCCCCGCAGCCTGGCGCCTTCAAACACACCGACGCGCACGCCTGGCGCCCACCTCCCGCAGGTGCACCCCAGCGCCCCAGGACACGCACCGGCCGGCCTCCTGCCACCCCCGGACGCGGGGCAGGTGCCTGGCAACCCACTGGGCCAGTGGGGGCCGACAGACCGCGATGCTTTCTGTCCCCTCAACTTTAAGACAAAGGGCTCGACGAGAGCTAAAGACTGAAGTTCTCTGAGGGTCTGCACGACCCCCGCGCCACGTCGCTCCACAGCAGCATTCGCCTTCGCAGCCTGACGCCCCACGCACCCGGGACTGCTGGTCTGTGCTCACCCCCCTCCCAGCCAGAGGAACATACTCCGCTTAGAACCAAGGCAGGTTCCCCCAAATGTGACCGACCAGGGCAAGCCATCCCCGACGAGCTCCGATAGCCACGTCTTTGCAGGAAGGAGTCTGCCTTCTCCGACTAGGAATGACCGCAGGAAAGCGAACATGCCGGGCGGCCGCGCTCCGCATTCTGCAGGTACAGAGCGGTCTCGGCCGCTAGCCCTAACCGGCCGAGCGCCTGCCACCCCCGGCCCACCCCCACGCCTGACACGAGCCACGGTCTTCGCAAGGCTGGTCTGTGGCCACCCCCGGGGCTGCACTTCCATTAAGTTCCCTCCGACCTCCGCACCGTCCCGGGCACAGCAGGTCACACAGAGGGAGCGACACGTCGGCACCGCCGTCCCGGGCGGCAAGGACAGGCTGCGCAGCTGCAGCCCACGTCTGGGGAAGCCGACAGCCGGCAGCGCCCAGGAGCAGCCCCGGCCCGGAGAAGGGCGGCTGCGAGCCCCACACACACGTCCTGGAAGCGCGGCAAGCAGCGGGCTCGGCCCCGCCGGGGAGGTGGGCCGGACCCGACGGCAATGCCTGGGGGACGTGGGGGCCCCCGAGCGCCGGCGGATGTGTGCGCGTGCCTGAGCACCCCGCACGCCGCTGTGGTTCACGAGCACCGGCTGCTCCACCACAGACCGTGCACCCGTTAGGTCTGCGTGTTTCAGGTCTGGCTTGTCTGCAAGGACAGCGCGAGCGAGTGCGCAGCAGGAGGGACCCTGATCGCGACCTGAGCTGAAACCAAGAGTCAGTCCCCTAGACGGCTGCGCCACCTCGGCGCCCGCGTACTGCTCCCGTTGCATGGCAGCCACACACTCGCTTCTGTCCACAGAGCCTGGGCCAGGCCCGCGGCCAGCAGCAGCGCGTGCACATCCGGGTCCTAGGAACGGCCTGGCCTCTGACAAGCCGAGCGGAGGTGCGGTCCTCCAGTAACCAGTCTTCACGTTCGGCCGTTCTGGGACCGTGTCTTGTGCGGCTCCTTTGACATTTCTCTGACCTCGAATGGAACCGGCCGTCTTCTCCGTGCTCACTGGCCACTCGGACAGCAGCTTTTTAAATGAGCTGCTCACGGGCACCTGGGTGGCTCAGTCGGTTGTGTCTGACTCCCGGTCTGGGCTCAGGTCATGATCTTGGGGTCCTTAGGTCGAGACCTCTGTCAGGCTCCGCGCTCTGCAGGGGTCTGCCTGAGACTCCCCCTCCCCCCCGCCCCTTGCCCCTCCACGCTCACTCGCTCTCGCTCTCTGAAAAAAAAAAGGAAATAAATTAGTGGTTCAAAAACCTTTTACTCTTCCTGTGGAAGGTTCGCATGTAAGATACAAGCCTTTCTGCACCCAAACATGCACAACAACGTCCCCCACGGCCTGCGTTTTCAGGTTCAATGTCCCGTTCTTTCCAACGTTAAGTCTTTGCTTTTAATTCAAAGTTTCAATCTCTTCCTACACTTGAGACCTGGAGACCCGGCTGCTGTTTACCGAACCTGGCTTCCGGCTGTGCACGTGGTCCCCAGTGGGGGAGGTTGTCCCTGCAGGCAAACAGCTGCTCCGCGCCACTCGCTGACCAGACCGCCCTCGCTGCCCCCGGCTGCGCTACTTCCTCTGCCAGAAATCAAGCTGGCCACGTGCACGGGCCCGTTTCTGAGTCCAAGACGGCTAGTTTCTCTACTGTGTCACAGGTCTGTGTGTCTCCAGCACCATCTGTTAGAGGCCACTCTGGTGGCCTACGGAGGACGGGGCAGTATGGGCACAGTCACACTACGTGGCGGGCGCAGACGTTACTTACAAATCAAGTCTTACATACATAACGAACACGTAACACCATTAGATGCACGGATGTGGTTTCTGTGTTGTTGCACCGCAAGGGCCAACTGAAGACTCCCATGAGACAAACTCCTGTTTTTACAACCACGTCCCAGAAGGCCTGAAGCTCCCCGAGAAGCAAAAAGGCCCGTGCTGGACTGTCTGTGCCTTGGAGTCCAAAAGCCGTGTTCCAAGAATGATTTACCAGGACGAGAGTTTTATTATTAACCTGGACAACTGGGCAGAAAGCACAGCACGGGGCCAGGGGCAGGGCGGGCTACCCCGCCACCCATGTCACCCAGGTGTTAAGATAACTCACCTGTGAGCAAGAAACACGGGGACTAAGGCAGCTTCACGACCTCAGAATCCCAACGTATCAACTAACTCGGCATAATCAAAAAAAAAACAGACCGTGGTGTTACCGGCCTGCCGGCCCCCCAACTGCACGCCCCCTCCTTGCCGTCTCCCGCACACACGTCGCTAATGGGATGCCAGCGCACATGGCGAGTCCCCGTCCCGTCTCCCCACAAGCTAGAGACGGGGTGCCCAGCACAGCTCCTGCCTCTCCTGTGACACAGGAGACACCCCTTGCCCCACTGCCCTACTCCACGACCCAGGGCAAGTGTTTCCGGCCACCATGGTGGAGCCCACGAGGAAGGCCACCCCACGCCGGTGGCCCTGGTGGCTGCGGGAAGCCCCGAGGCTCTCCAGAAGCCCCGCCCAGCACTCTGGAAGCTGGTCTGGAACACGGAGGCAGAACGCAGCACACTCCAGCACACGAGCGTTCTGCTCAAGTTGTAACCGAGACGCCGGGCAGCCAGGGTGGGAGAGCTCGGACGAGGGGCGCGGCAGGCACCCCAGTAACTTTCGGGACGGTGGGACGCAGTCCTCACACAGGGGTGCTGGACACGGCAGGGCAGAGAGAGCTTCCTCCTGGGAGAGGCGCGTTTTATTTAGGAAACGGCAGGTTCTCAAAGCGCTCTGTAAACACGACCACTGTTTACGTAATAAAACCGTGTTCCAGAAAGTAAGTAACAGACAAAGGCTTCTCGGGTTAGGGGAGACGGGAATGAGACCTGCCAGACCCGTCACCTCGGAACTGAAGAACGGACTTGGCTGGAGCCCTCGGGATAAGCCCGTTTCCTCCCCAGGTAGGGCGGCAGCTCCCGGCTGTCTGGGCTGTCGTCATTCCGGCACCCAGCACCCCACGGCCCTTCCCTCGGGCCCCTCTCCCTCTACTTGGGGTCACCTGCCCTCTTTTCCACTCGGCCTCAGGGCCTCTCATGGTGACCATCTGTGACATGTGGGGGATGGGCCAGGATCTAGGGGCTGAAACCCCTCCGCTGTCGAACTTCACAATACTACAGTTTCCCTTCAAAACAAATCAGCTTTTCCTCTTCAGACACCTCTGGCTGCAGTGGGCTGCTCCCCCAGCGGCGTGCGGCTGGCTGCAGAGCACAGGGGGCGCGGGGCTGGGGGGGCTTCGCCTCCCTGAAGCCGCGCGCATGAGCAGCTCAGCTTCGCGTCCAGCGTCCCGTGGGCAGTCAGTGAGGCAACCCCTCCCCATGACAGCGTCACCATCAGCACAGCGAGCTCCTCTCCCCGGGGGCCTGGGGCAGGCACTGACCGGTCCTGCTGGACAAGGGCTTCAAGCAGAACCATCGCGGGCAGAAAGAACAGTTGTGCGGCGCGTGGGCTCACCAGGCCGGCGCAGTCCCTGCTCCAAATATAAACCAGAGGTCATACCACCAGGACAGGCAGGGGACAAGCACCGCCTCGGCCAGGAGCCAGGCCTGGAGTCCCACATCTCCGGGCAGCTGTGCGGCCCCACGTGACGTGAGGCGAGTGACTCCACCCACCGCGGCCGGCGGGCCAGTGTCCCGCAGCACGTACGCCCCGGACAGGGGCCCAGAGAAGCCTCAACCCGAGTTCCCAGGCCGTGTGTGACCGCCGTGTTACAGGATAAGCACCACGCAGAAACACGCTTTTAGCCGACAAGCTGGCGGCTGAGCGCCGCCCATGACTCAGCACCGGGGGTCCGGCGCGGAGTGGGGCAGAGCCCTCGGGAGCCCCGGACCGCCGGAGACTCCACCCCAGCTGCGCGCCCAGCAGCGCCGCGGACGGAGCAGCCCGGCCGCTGGGAAAGGCCGGCGCTCGGGGTCCTGGCGGCTCTGCAGGGTCTCCCAGAAGGGACAGAACTGAAACCCCCGGTCCGCGGGCCGGTCCCGAAGCAAACCGCCGGCGGCAAGGAAGCGGCGGCCGCGCACTCCGGGGACCGGCTGCGCCGCGAGCCTCCGTCCCGCCCCGTGAAGCCTCGCTCAGGACCCGAGAGAAGTCGGGGCCCGCTGGGACCTTCCGCCCGGGTCAGCAGCCCGGGTCAGCAGCCCGCGACGCCGCGGAGTCCGCCGAAGCTCTGCACGGCCCGTCCCCAAAGCTCGCGCGCGCGCTGACCGCCCGCTTCGGAGACCGCAAAGGTCGGGGCCAGCGCGCTGCTGCGGGCGGGACCACCGCACGGGGCCGCAGGGCAACGGCCCGGGAGCCACCGGGAGGCAGGACGCCGGCGGCCGAGGCCGCCTACCCGGCTGGAGGTGAGCGGGCCGGGCCTGTGCTCCCGGGAGCAGGAGGGTCTGCAGACCCAGGGACCGGCCGGGGCCGCGGCCAGCCGTCTGCGGGATCCCTGCGAGGCCTGGGAACGTCCCCCGGTCGCGGGTTCGCAGCGCCGGCCGCTGGGCAGCACGTCCCGCGCCAGCCGCACGCGAAGCCCCTCCTCGCCCCCCCTCACGCGGTCCCCCCCGGCGCAAGCGGCGGCAGGACCCGAGCCCCCACGCGGGCGGAGCGAGCGCCGGTCACTCTCGCGGCCGCCCCGCTCGGCCAGAACCGCCGGCGTCTGCCGACACCCACACTCGGGCGGCGCACGGGTGAAACACGACCCCGCGGGGCTCCGCGAGGCCTGCCCGCAGCCGGGGCGAAGGTTCGGCTCGCCCGGGACCCCCCTGCGTCCGGCCCGCCCGCCCCCGGAGCCCGCCCTCCCCCCGGCCCGCGAGCCCCCGGCAGCCCCGGGCGCGGCCCCCCCGCCCCCGCCGGCCTCACCCTGCAGGTTCTCCTCCTGCAGTCCGGGGGTCCCGCTCTGCGACATGGCGCCGGACGGACGGCGCTGCGGCGGCGGCTCGGAGGGGCGGCGGGCGGGCGGGGTTCGGGGCTGGGACGCGGGGCCCGAAGACGCGGGAGCGCTCGGCCGACGAGCCCGACCGACTGACGCGCGCCGGCGGACGCACGGCAGATAAACGGCGGAGGAGCCGCGGCGCCGCCAATTGGTCGCGGGGCGGGGCCTGGGCGTGCGCGAGAACGCGGGGCGCGCGGGGCGCGTGCGGCGCGTGCAACGCGTGCGCAGGGCGGGTGGAAGCCTTGCCCAAGGACCGCAGCGCGCGTGCGCGGGACAGGAGCTGACGAGCGGGGCGCGCGTGCGCAGGGCAAGAGCTGAGGAACAGGACGAGCGTGTGTGAGGCGTGGGGTGAGGGGCCTGAGGAGTGGGGTGCGTGTGCGCAGGCGCGATGGGGGGCGGGGACTGAGGTGGCGCGGTGGTCGCCCCGCGCGGGGCGGGGCCGTAGGCGGGGCGTGGTCTGCGGAATCCTGGTCGGGGATTGCGAGACTGACCCACAAGGGCGCTTCGGGACTGCGGACACGCTGAGTACCCGACCCTCACCTGCAGAGACCGCCCACCAGTCCGGACCGTCGCCGCAGTGACCGCCCACCAGTGCCGACCCTCACCTGCAGTGACCGCCCACCAGTCCGGACCCTCACCTGCAGAGACCGCCCACCAGTCCGGACCCTCACCTGCAGTGACCGCCCACCAGTCCGGACCCTCACCTGCAGTGACCGCCCACCAGTCCGGACCCTCACCTGCAGAGACCGCCCACCAGTCCGGACCCTCATCTGCAGAGACCGCCCACCAGTCCGGACCCTCACCTGCAGTGACCGCCCACCAGTCCCGACCCTCACCTGCAGAGACTGCCCACGGGTCGCGACCCTCACCTGAGTGGCCAGTCAGAAAGCCAGCCTGCTACACGTCAGACTCTCAGGAAGTCAGCCCAGTATCTAGAGCGACTGGTCCAGGAAGCCACACGTCAGCCCCCATCAATGAGCCCCAAAGGGCCAGCCCCTGCTCAGTCACCAAGGGTTTCCCCGCTCCCTGTGCCCTCCGGCTCAGGACCAACCAGAGAAAGCCAAAATGCTCCTTAGCCAGTCCTGAGGACCCCTGCTGTAGTTCCCCACCCCAGCCTCCATCGGGACCCCCCGAGCCCCCTTCCCATGATGACATCTGGCACTGCCCTCCCTGCCCCTGGCTCTCTGCCGCCTGGGAGTGCCCTGGGACCCTGCTCCGTCTGCTCCGGAGAGACGCGTTCTCTCTCGAGCTTTCCTTCCGGACGCAGAGCTGCTGGCCTTCCCTTCGCTTTGACAGTCTCGTTTATTCAGCGAAGGCTGACCACACGCGGCCCCTGGGGGGGAACAAGGGAACAAGCAGCCCTGCTTCCCCCACAGAGACCGCGATTGCAAAGCCCCTAGGGCCAGGTTCCCACGCCACACCTGTCCTCCCCGTGCGGACCGCAGCTCCTCAGGCCCCCTTCCTGGGAAACCCCAGAACGAGCTGCCCATCCGGGCTTCCGACCCACAAAGGCAGCCCATGCACCTTTATTTAGATGTTGTTTTTTCTCTTGGAAAAGTTCCCTAGTTTTCAGCAAGCAAGGCTTGCCCTTCGTTTGTCATATATCCCTGAATGGTCCTGGGTTATGTTATGGCACTTGCTATTAAATTTCACTTGTTACTGCTAGTATAGAAATGACAATTTTGTGTCTTGGCACATCCTGCAATCTTGCCAAAACTTACACTTTTTTTTTTAATAAGCCTCTGAACTCTCTATATGCAATTACTGGGAAATGTTTAAGGAAACATGTTTCTTCCCGCAACCTGGTTTTCCCTCTCCACGAGGGACCTTGTAGCAGGTGCCATCACTCGGAGGACCCCCACGTGAGAGCGGCCAGAAGCCTATCTGTAGACCAGCCCGTGATGGCCACAGATGAGGTGGGGTCGGCTGCCCCTGGAAGCCCCAAGGTGGAGTCAAGGGTCCAAGGAAAGCACAGTGGGAAACAGAAGGGGCCTCGGTGGGTGATGCGATGACTGCGCACCTGACCCCTGCTCTCACCTTCCCTCCCCGGAAACAGAGCCACTTCTAAAGCCATGGTCATCAAACTTCTCTGCTCCCGCGTCCCCCGAAAAAATTGTGAAAAATCACCTTCCACGCTTAATGTAGACATCTAACTTCTACATCACAAATGCGAGCGGTTGCAGGGGTATGAGTTCCGGCGCGCCGTCATCATCACCGTGTTAATCGCGGTGGCCTGTGTTCCGTCGGCCGGGCTTCCGGGAAGACGGCAGTTTTTATTCTGAAATGACTCGAAGTCAGAACAGTGAGAAAACGATGATCAGCTGCAGACCCGTAGCCCGAGGAAGTCGGTCCCGCCCAGCGCCCAGCTCACCACAAACAGCGGCACAAGCAGATTTCTACCGTCACCAGCGATATTCCAGTTCACATCAGTCTGTTGACAAAATAAGCCTAGTTTTGAGGACACCTGGCCTGATCACTGACCAAAGCGCAGCAACAGGAGAGACCGGTCACCAATTTCCCAGCCTTGTCCTGTTGCCAAGGGACAAAGCTGAACTGGAGGGAGCAGGTGCGGCGCAGAGGGAAGTGTTTCATGTGCTCACAAAGGAAAAGTTGTCAACTTGCTGTCAGTCGGCTGAAGATAAAAAGTCATCTTAAATCTGGAAAAACAAAACACTTATTAAAAGTCAGCAGAAAGTCATAAAAATTAGAGCAGTCCTGCTCGGTTCAGTTAGCCCCGGGTCACTGGTTCTCATTCTGCTTGGATACAGCATTTCCGCCACTTCTGGAAATTTTTACCCAGCTCAGCTTTATGATCCTGGGTTTAGCAACCTGTGCCCACGGAAGGCGGAACGCGGCTGCCTCGAGGCGTCTGAGTGGAAGTAGGACAGTCTGTGAATGACAGAAGGGACAACACATGCCCTTGGTCGCCGATCTGGTGAGAGCTCAGGACAACGCGACGGAGGAATTTGGTGACTTCCATGACGCGGAGCACTCCAAGATACCAACATCCCAGGACATCGGGCTTCTGGGAGTTTCGTACGATTCTGAAAACACTCGTTTTAACCACACGTCTATGCAGTGCATTCTCAGAGGATCGAATACCACCTGTCCGAGGGCGCTTCCGCTTATCTCACACACCAAATATGCCTGACTGGCTTAATTTCTCAAAAGAAAAAAAAAATCTTTGAAATGTTCCACAAGCTCTCTGGAAGACTTCAGTTAGATCGTGGTAAAAACACTTTATTCCATACGTCTTAAGAATGATATTGGGGTGTAACTTTATTTACTTATTTATATTTTTTAAAGATTTTAGGGGCACTTCAGTGGCTCGGTGGTTAAGCGTCTGCCTTCGGCTCAGGGTCCTGGGATCGAGCCCACATGGGCCTCCCTGCTCCGTGGGAAGCCTGCTTCTCCCTCTCCCACTCCCCTTGCTTGTGTTCCTTCTCTAGCCCGCTCTCTCTCTCTCTCTCTGTCAAATAAACAATTAAAATCTTAAAAAAAAAAAAAAAGATTTTATGCAGTTATTTGAGCCCCAGACCAATAGTTCAGGAAAACTTTGTTCTTTAACGGAGAAAATGTACCCCCCGTATGCTTTCGACACTGTAACTCCTTGACTTACTTAAATTGATCTTCATTTTAGCGAGTAGGGACTACCAGGCATGCCCTCCCAAAGATTCCTTTTCCATAAGCCTTTCAAACTTTCCTGTTTACATCTAATTATTGTCCTAATGATATGGTTTTGGAATGTACGTGGTGGGGTGGGGTGAGGTCCAGGGCCGATGGCCGAGAGAAAATTCTTGAGACATCTTTGGTGCAAAATAGTGATTTTATTAAAGCTCGGGGACAGGACAGGACCCGTGGGCAGAAAGGGCCGCCGCCGCGGTTGTGAGGGGCGGCGGATTATATACTCAGGAGTTGGGGGTAAGGAGAGGAAGATGTTTTCTGAAGAAGTTTCATAGGCTCCCGACCTGTGGGTCAGCGTTGGTCAGCCTGGAAACGTATAGGGGAGTTAGGAAAGGGGGAGGCAGCGGAATCTGACAGGGACGCATGCATGCGCCTCCTTGAGCAGAAAGGGTCATCCGTTGGCTGAAGTTATGGAAGCAAAGAAGTCTGGCACTACGTAGGGACGCTGGGAAAATCAACAAAATGTGGCTAATAATGAGAAAAAAGAAGCCCGATGAAAATCGCCACTGAGAGTTGACCATAATTTTCCTCCAGTCCAGGAGTTTTAACCATTAAAGGAAAGAGAGGGGATGTTTAAAGCACCAGCTTGAGTATTCACAGCCGTTAGGAACCCGCATTCTGGAACCTACGCGCAGCGGTTTCCCTGCCGGCACGTGGTCCGCCTCGCCAGGCGGTTCGGACACCCGACGCCTGTTCCGTTTCTGTTTTCCAGAATGGCTTCACGCCTCCGCGTCCCTTCGGTGTTGAACAGAGAAATGCTGCTTTCAGTGTCACTTGGGGCCTTGGCCTTGCACTTAGCAGAGCTTCCAGGTGCCAAACGGCATCTCCCAGCCCCGAAGCACAAAGACGGACGCTCGGTGGCCGTACGAAGGCGGCACAGAACGTGTCCACCGTCACTTTACGTGTGGAAGTGGGCTGGGCAGGTACCGGTTTTAATCATCCGTCTGTCCGTGCGTCCAGGCGAAACACAGGCGACAGCGGCCTGTCCGGCCAGGGAGACGCCAGGACCACAGGTTAGAGTCGCAGAGCCGTTGGGTCCCAGCCCGGAGACAGTCGTCTAGTCCTGGGTCTCCTCGAAGTGCAGGCAGGGTTTCACGGGCTACTCGGTCTGGGAGGACCATCCTTTGAGTTGTGTAATAATTCCAGGCCCACATTTGATGGGGGCGTCCTGGCCTGATAATAATCCACCTTTCTTCGAATAGCTACGGGCCTCTGGGACAAGGAAGGCATATCTGGAGTCAGTATAGATGCTGATTGTTAAGGCTTGGCCGATCGCAAAGCGCAGGTGGGCGCCATTGACTCTGCTCTGGGGGCAGATGTGTTTGCGA